TCTGGGGCGTTGTGACAGGCCCACCTGCACCCCACGGGGCGGGGTAGGCAACACGGGGTTGGGGGGAGGGGGTGGCAGCAGCCGTGGAGAAACAGCAATCGCAGGTAAGCACACCGCGGTTCAGAAGGAGGCGATATCGATACACACTTGGGCGGATGGAGCGAAAAAGGGGCCGACGTGCATGCAAGGCTTTCGCTTTGGTGTGCATGTCCATGGGGGTGGCGAACTATGGGAGCAAAGTTCGGGATTGTTGGAATTCGTAGACATACACCCGGACATATGCCAATGTGCTGTACACCCCTCCTTGTACATCGCTGTACTACAAGGCTGTGCAATAGACCGCCGTACTGAATCGCTGTGTGCCACCTACCACAGCCTACCGTTTCCCCCACTACTACACCGCAACGCGATGCTTACGTGTCGCAGATGAGCTGGTTGGCGATGTCGGTGATGCCGTACCGCTCCTTCAGCAGTTGAGCGACCCGCGGGTCGTTCTTGACCACCACCTCGGCGTCCATGTTATCATCCGGGGAGGTTAGCGGTTGGAGACCCTCCAGCTGGGGAAGAGCGGGGCAGGGGGGTTTGGGGGAGAGGGGAGGGAAGGGGGGGTCATATGCGAGAAAGCGGGAAGTGAACTGCCGGCTTGGTCCAAGAGGTCCGAACGAAACTGCCAGTAGTGAGTCCTAAGCGGTGATGTCACCGACCCCCCGTGGTTCTGGAAGTGAAGGGAAGTGAAGGGGAGAGGTGAAATTCCGGCAATGGTAGTTCATGGCCTTGTAGTACTAGTCATCGTGCACGGGGGAGGAGAGGGTTAGGAGGGAGAGAGGAGGGGGAGAGAAGGCTGGGAGGGGCCACGCTGCAAGAGAAAAGGACGGCGAGGACCTGGAACAGGAACAGGACCTGGAAGTGTTGTTGTGGGGGCTGTGTTTGGGAATCTCATCATGAAAGGCGGGTGGAAGCGGGAGCTAGGGGAGGGAATGCATTTGGGCAATTCGATCGTTCCACTATTCAACCATTTCCTTTACACAAAACAGACAGCCAGTGCCGCGCTTTGAGAATTCCTTCTCGACTGCGAAACGGATGCTGTGCCTCATCAAGGAAGGAGACGTAAACTTGTGTGTCTTACAATTTTCCAGCTCTTCATGTCGGCTCCCAAGCCTTCCGGGCCGTTGTTGGGCGGGCATGTCGCGAAGGGAGAGGAGCCCTCGTGGTCGCCGAGGAGGTGGACGAGAGCCTCCACGGCGACGCTGGCGGAGGGGACGATGAGGATGCATTCCGCGATACGTTCAGGACGCGCACCAACGCCTCTTTCAAACGCCAGCAAGGCCTTCTTGGCGGGCTCCTGAAGGACAGGAGGATGGAAAAAGAATCGTAGGAGGAAGGCATGGCGGTTGGACGGAGGACGTTATTTGCGTTGCAGCAAAAATAGGGACCTAAGTGAGAAGTTTCTTGATATTATCTGTAATACTGTTCATGTCAATCCCCTACCCGGAGCATGACAGTGTTGAACCGAAGCGCCCCGACTCCATTGGCGACCGCGTAGCCCTTGCAAGCCTCCACAGCCCGTCGAACCTCGTCCGGCGATAGCTGATCGAGGGGGTGGCGAGGAACAGCGTTGACACCTGCAGCGTGGTGGGCGCGATAGTTGAGAGCACCATTGCTTCGCGAGGATTCGCGAGGATGCTAGTCGGACGACGCGTCAGAACAGTTTGATAGTCCACAAGAAGGCAGTATTTTACCAATTCATGCTTTCAAGTGGTTCGTATTTCCATGTAGCCCGCAAGCTGTGTCCATCGGCGAACAAGGGTTTAGGGACATCGCATACAAAGCGAATCACATTGTGGGCATACCACCTCACAAACACTCTCATAAAAACACAGGAGATTACGGGGGAATTTGAGGTTAAAACAAAGGCCAAAGCGTCGTTGCAGCGTTGCGAGGTACCGACCTCAACTGCCCTCGGAAAACGTGCGACGGTCAACATTAAAAGCCCAGATCGGCCCATAATATATTTAAATTAGCATTAACCTAAAAGTCCCAACACATCACCTCGATGCAAAAACGTACGTGCAGTCTGGGTGGCCATCTTGAAGGAGCTTCGGTTCCTTGTCTGCGCTGTCTAGGACAGCGCCGCTATTGTTACTAGCCCTAATAAATTGAAGCAGCGCACTGCAAACCTTAACCATACCGAGGCCGAACCGCTTCGGCCGGTGTGGAATATAAAGGAGGAAGGGCAAGTCCGGAGACTGCCGCTATTATAAGCAGTATGACTCAAAGGGCTTTGGTACAAAGTTAATTTTGATACTATAATTTCATGGAGCACAGCACCTTTTGTACTCTCTGCAGAACAACATTGACCATGGAATCATTTACGACAAACGCAAGCAGCTTCACGCTGCTAGAACCTCATATACTTGGAGTAAATAAAATTAATGGTACTTTTCAATACATGTGAAATATGTCGCTGCAAGTACTATACCGTTTCTAAAGTTGCGGGCCCGTCCGGGGCGTCCCGCGGGCACGAGAGGAACATATGTGTCGTTAAAATCACAATAAACAATGATGCCATGTTAAGGAGGAAAGTATGCCACAGTTTATGCGCCTCGCCTACGATAGCATGTGGAATGCCTGCCAAACCCTTGTTTGCAATCATCAAGACTGGAGTGATGCTGCACCCGAATATGACTTGCATAATGTCACGTTGGATTCGGGTTGCATAATCCCAGCTGAACTGTTCTATTCATCGTAACCCTTTGCGTAAACCCATCGCAAATATCCAAGCCATTCCGCCGTCAACTCCGCACCCGGCACCAATTTATAGCGATGACTGGAAGACATAAGAAGCATTTCGACTCGGTATTACATGTTGCATCTCGATACGGGTGCGTCGGTGCAACGTACCTGGAGAAACTGCATTCGCAAAGCCTGTGCCGAACTCTCCATACTTGAAGCGTTCTAGGGCCTACATGAACCCGTGGGCCACGCACACATGGGATACGGCACGCAGCCGCGCTTTTCTCCCACTCCCGACCACTCTCCCGACCACTCCCGGAACTCCCTCCGGCTCCAAATCGTCCCACGAATCGCCTTCCATGAGGAGGTCTCCAAACCTGATTTTGCCACCATGTGTGTATGTGTGTATGTATGTATGTATGTGTGTGGCGGCACGGAACTGGTTGCGTCCGTCTGATGTTCCCAGTATGCTGCTGTTTGTTTGCCTCCTCACAAGCCATGCCGTGTCCCCCTATCCTCGTGTGTGTGCGGTGTAATCAAAAAGATATGTAGTCACGTGCTACTTCACGTGGGTGGGGTAGGGTGGGGGTAAGAGGGCTGTACTCACGTGTGGCCATGTAGCTATGGATGAGTGAATGTGTACAGAAGGGCGGCGGAAGCTGGATGTGTGTGTACCGCAGGCAGCCGTATGCAGCCGTATGCTTGCAGCCGCAGGAGCCAGGTCGGGGCTCGCACTGGGGACCTCCTCGTACACTTTCCACGGTTTGCGGCCTTGTTTGCAGGTACGGGCACATATCATTCCATACCCATACAGTCGTACTTCACCAAAATCAAAACGCAACGCTGCAGGGAGAAGGATCTGCACTGTTCGTGGTGCTGATCCGGGGCCAATGAAATCCACCCATGCTACTTGCAAAGCAAGGTTGAGTAGTTTACGTTCAGCCTATGCCGCATGAATGATGGAATGAAGCGTACAATTCAACCTTAATGTATTGAATCTGTCTGATCATAGGTCGCGCTAGGTGGCGCTTCCTGATTGCGAAGAGTGGCGGAGTAGCGGGAAGGGAAGGGCAACCGTCATACGGCGGCAAGGGCATTTGCGGCGTTGCGAGTTGGGAATTGCGTAGATTGGCGTCTCCTAGTTTTACATACGCATTGTTTCACAGATTGTATCTATCTTGTCAGCTCGCTGTTATTAGTAAACGTTTGTGCAGTAGAGAGTTGGTGTTCGTTTCTTTGTAAGTTGACGACGAGCGGCACAAAACCTTCCTTCGTTTCTATTAAGCAGGTCGTCCCAACACACCACTCCGATTACCTTTAAGCCTGCATATAAAACTTCAGCGGACGCCATGTCAGAGCCGCCAGCTAAATTTGCTCGACTGGAGTCAAAAACGCAAACCACAGATGATCCCCCAGCAGACGTCAGCATCATCGTTCAGTTCCAATCGGCGAACGGCGACGACACAGGCAAGCCACTGACAGGCTGCTTGCGCGCCGGCGGCTATCCGCTGGTTTGTCATCAGGGTCATGGCCGTCTGAAGCATGCTTGGCGCGGGGGAGGAAGGCCGCAGAGGAGAAGAATAAAATGTGTCCCGCATGTTGCAAGGCCACAGGCCTGTCGCGGCGCACTTCCATTTTCACCTGGCATTTGGCTCCGGATGTCATGTCATGGATGTCCGCAGGGCCTCAGCTGGACATCCCACACAATGTGACGCCCATGCAGCTGGAGGTGCTGCTGAACGGCCTCCTTAACAATGAAGAGAAGCTCCCGTACTCCTTCTACATTGAGGAGCAGGTGGGGGATGTGGCGCCCTTGGGGAGACAAGCGGAGAGACAGGGGTGGTGGCGGGGAGGGAGGAAAGACGAACCACGAACGAGGGGGGGAGAGGGGGGAGGGGGGAAAGACGAACCACGAACGAGTGAAGCTGCTGCCAAGGAAGGACGGAGGGGGGAAGGAGGAGCATGGAGGGCTTCTTGCCGTATCAGAGATGTGTACGGTACTCTGTACGACGCCGGCCCTGGACAAGCCTATTCGGTATCGGCCTTTTCTCCCACTACCCCCCCTTCTTCCCACTTTCATCCCCACGAGGCACCCCATGTCCCCGCATACGCCGCCGACCTTTGGGTGATCGCTGTATAGGACTCACCCAGCGTTTGCAACTTTGCACGTCAGTCGGCGGTTGTTCGCGGTTGTTGTTTGCTTGCGCTCTTCAACTTGGTAGGGTGCTGCAGGGTCCTGGGCCTGGCCCTGGTCCTGGGCAGCGGCGTCCTCAGGTCTCGAGAGTGTGTGGTTTGCGGTCCCCGGACCCCCCCTGACTCCGGGAGTCTGCGGAATACATGCGGCTCCTCAAACACACACAACACACACACACCCCGTAAGCCGTATGGCCGTGGATCTTCCCTTCCTGGCCCAACACCTCCAATTGGGCCCCCCGCCCCTTCCGCACACCCCCCTTCACAGTTCGCGACTGATTAGGTACTTCTAGTTACATGGTACTTCTGGGGCGTATCACGCTATCCTTGGCATCCGCGTCACTCGTTCACGTGGTCCGTCTCTCCCGCCCCCTCCTCCTCCTCCCCCCTCCCTCCAGGAGCTGCTAGGTGAGCTGGGCGCCCACCTGGGTGTTCACAAGACCAGTGTGGAGAAGGCGCTCAGGATTGTGTACCAGCCCCAGGTCGGTCTGGGAGGGAGGGGGGAGGGGGGGGAGGGAAGGGGGAAGGCGGGGGGGAGGAGGGAG